ATTTTCTCAGAGTTCTGGAGCCTGTGAAGTTCAAATCAAGATGCCAGCTGATTCAGTTCCTGGTGAGAGCTTTCCTCCTGGCTTAAAGCCAGCCACCTTCTCAGTGTGTCCTTACATGATAGAGAGAGAGAAAGCACTCTCCTTCTCCTCTTATAAAACCACTAATCCTATTAGATTTGGGCCCCACCCTTATAACCTTATGACCTAATTACCTCCTAAAAGCCCTATCTTCAAATAAAGTCATATCGGGGTTAGGGCTTCAACATATGAATTCTTGGAGGACACAATTCAGTCTATAGCATTACCCATTCTTGTAGAGCCACTGGCCTTTAAAAACCAACTTTTTCCAAACTTCCAGACTGGTACACAGAAAAAGTTGTCTTAGATGAAATAGAAAAAATAAACTGCTTAACCTCATTCTGTGTCAATGTAGTTTTGTTCTAAGGGGCTAAGATAGTCACTCGGGACTTGTATAAGATCTAGGTTCATTGTACTACTGTGGAAAGAGCATTAGCTTTGTATCAACAGAACTGAATTTGAATTACCAACTGTGTGACCTTGGATAAATTTCCTATCTCTCTGAGTCTTAATTTTAAAATGGTGATGATCAATTCTATAGAAATTTTGAGAGAATTAAATAAAGCAAAGTATTTTTAAGAAATTAAACTTGTGGGATTGTAATAATTGCAATTACTGTAATTTTTCTTTTAGTTTACAAAGAAAAATTACAACAAAACATGTTCCCTCTATCTGGAGACAACACCTAGTTATTATTGATAAGTGAGATCAGACAAACAATAACATTTATTCCACCTCAATCTTTGGGATATTTTAGACTCTCTGTCCAAACTAACTGCTGTCTACCAAATATCAGAAGAAACAGAAGATAAACACTGCCATTGTTTTTATTATAACTAGATGTTAGAGGGTTCCCATATCCATGACCTAGACCTCAGGTGAAAACAACTTTGCAGAAAGTGAAAAACAGAAATGTGAGGCTTGAGGGCCAGCCCGGTGGCGCACTGGATAAGTGCGCCGCTTGGGAAGCGCGGCGGCGCTCCCGCCCGAGGGTTCGGATCCCACATACAGACCGGTTCCAGCTCACTGGCTGAGCGAGGTGCGGGAGCAACACCGAGGGTTGCAAACCCGTTGCCGGTCCCCGGTCCGGTCCGGGGGCAACACTGAGGGTTGTGATCCGTTGCCGGACACGGAAAAAGACAAAAAAAGACAAAAAAAAAAAAAAAAAGAAATGTGAGGCTTGAATAATCTGTCTGAAGAGTGGTCATTATGAAACTGGAACCCTCAAACTGCTCCAACTCCAGTACAGTTCTTTCTCCCCTGTGCAGCCCAGGGCACTGGCATGCCAGAGAGAGATGGTTTTGACATAAATGATTTGGATCATTACCAACATTATAGTTGCCTATTTTGTGAAGTCTAGTATATTCGACAAAGTCCACATGTATTCTCTCCATACTGAATGGATTAATAAACTAAGGCTTATATGGCTATTCATATGTTACAAAGCACTTTCATATCCATTACCTCATTTGGTTCTGAAGATAATCCTGTAAATAAGGTTTATAAAAGGCAATATCATTGTCCACTCACTAAAAAACAAACAAACAAAAAAAACCCATGGAAACAGAGACTCAAAGGTTAACCAAATACCACAAGATAATGAATGATAAAGACTAGAACTTAGGTCTTTCTGAATAAGAGTTCTCTTACTTTCTACCTCATCACACACACTATTTCCTCCCTCCCCAAATGATATCATTCTTACAGAGGTTTTCGGTTTTCAAAACACTTCAAAGGGCTATATTTTCAGATGCAGAGCCAGGTTCAATTTATACTGTCTATCTTAGATAAAGTCAAGGAGGAGGAGAAGCTATCAAGTTCTATGAAAACAGGATAGGAACCAGAAAATTGGCTGAGGTACAGGACTGTTCTCTTCCTAGGTTCTAGAGCAGAGGGAAGCTAGATAGGCAGATTGCTACCTCTTGTTCCACCACTCTAGTGATGGTATATGGTGGATAGCCATCAATTTAGAGAACGATTGTACTGAATACTAAGATGTCTATTGCTCTTTAGACACCTGGTACATATTTGCTGAACTATATAAACTGAATTTGACCTCAGGTAGGAGATAAGTGCTAGTAGGGAGAGTATTCTTGTTCTGCCAGTCTGGGCTCATTTTGTTTTGAGACAGAGTGAAGCTGCTTATACAAGGCTGATGATCATGAAAACATCTAAGATGAGACTAGGATGAGGCAGATATAAATATTCTATGAAAAACTTCAGGGAAAGTTCATCACTCCAGTTTTATCCATCAATCTGCCATGAACATCCCTAAGGATACCCATCCCCTTTAGGAAAAATGAAGATACAGAAGTATCCATTGATTAGAGGACTGATTAACTCTCTATAAAATTAAAGTTCTTTTTCAAGATTTTTTTCCACCTACCTACAACAGATTTACTAATTTCTGAAAATGTATCATTGGGGAAAATTACACTCTGGCCTAAAAATGAGGGGTATAGAAACAGTACATTTTCTGAAATGAGAACTGTTATGGTTTGAATGTGTCTCCCAAAGTTCATGTGTTGGAAACTTAATCTCCAGTGCAACAGTGTTAAGGGGTTGGATCTTTTAGAGGTAATTAGGTCATAAAGGCTCTGCCCTCATGAATGGATTAATACTGTTATTGCAGGAATGGGCCCCCTTTTCTCTCTTGCCCATGTGACACCTTCTGACATGTTATGATGTAGCAGGAAGGCCCTTACAAGATGCAGCCCTCAATCTTGAACTTCCTAGCCTTCAGAAGCATAAGCCAAACAAACTTCTGTTCATTATAAAATACCCAGTCTGTGATATTCCATTATGGCAGCACAAAATGGACCAAGATAGAAAGTTGGTACTAGAAAGTGGAGTGTTACTATAACAAATACCTGAAAATGTGGAAGCAGCTTTGGAACTGGGTAATAAATAGAGGCTGGAACAGTTTTGAAGTGAATTCTGGAAAAAGCCTCTGTTGTCATGAACAGAGCATTAAGAGTGATTCTGATGAGGGCTCAGAAGAAGAGAACAGTTATTTTTTTGAAAGTCTGAAACTTGATAGAGATTACTTATGTCATTCTTATCAGAATATCAGTAAAAATATGGAAAGTAATAGCCATTCTGATGAGGTCTCAGATAGTAATATCTTACTGGAAACTGGTGTAAAGGCCGTCCTTGTTATAAACTGGCAAAGAACTTGGATGAATTATATCCATGCCTGAGTGTGTTATTATGGATGGCAGAATTTAAGCACAATGAAGTAGGATATATGGCGGAAGAAATTTCTAAACAAGATATTGAAGGAGCTGCACAGCTACTTTTAACTGCATACAGTCAGATGCACAAGGACAGAGGCTTCATCCTATTGTCAAAGTTATCTTCTTACTTTAAGGCATGCCATTATCACATATAATTCAAAGCCACTGTCACCAACCTAGAGAAGTAGGTTCATATCTCACTAGATCTTCCTACACAAAATACATTAAAAAATGACCAGGCTACTTACAATTTCCCAAATGCTGCATGAACTTCCCTATTTTTATGTTATTGCTCAAGCTGTTTCATTAACTTGGAATGTTTTTAAAAAGTCTATCTGCATAACTACCACCATCACTCAAGTGTCTTACATACCCATTCCCAGGCTGCACATGAGATTTGCCTTTCTCCCTTCTGGTGGTTTGTGGCTTAGGTTAGCTCAAATTCCACAATTCTCTCCACTCTTCTACTTTAGATCTCAGCTCCTCTCCCCTGTACATAAGATTCCAAACTCATCCCACATTAATCGAGATGTGCCTGAGTAAAACATTCCTCAAAAATATCTTCCTCTCTTTGCTCTAATTCCACATCAATCTTCTCATCATTTATTTGGTTTCCCAGGTACCTTTAGATCAGGAAATGGTGTGTCCTGGAGAAGGGATGAAAGGATTCTGGTTAATGGAAAGTATTAAGCTCCACTATAATGACTTTGCATTGTGATCTCATCTGTCTTGTAATTTCTGTTAATCTAGAACCAAGAAACTGATAATTTTAAGGAAATTAATAAAGTTAAATTTTTGGACTTTAGTTAGTTTAGATAGACAGTCCTTCATTTGAGGCCTATTAGTGGCCAACCACCCACTGTCTCACCAAACTTTTATTTAATTGCCACAGAGAGTATGATTTTTTCATAAAAGTGAGGAGCAGATATTTAGGATATCAAAGAGTTTACTCAACCATTTCTTAAGTTGAAATAAAAATTGCTTCAATAAGTATGAAATAATGGATTTAATTTTTAAAATTCTTCCTCTTGAATGTTTTCAACCAGAAAATGAAATAAAATTTATTCCATGCTGATTTGTCTCAATGCCAACTTCCTTATACAAGTTGAAGATATCAAAAGCCAAAATGAACCAACAGTTCATTTTGTTCATAAAAGTGCCCAGAGAAGAAATATGAATACCCCACCCACAATATGATAGAAAGAATTATGAAACCAGCTTTCCATTTTCCTTAAAGAAGAGAAATGGAGACTCCAATTATTTACTATAACATCAATTTTAAATGCACTGAATATTCTGTGAGTGTATAAAACATTTTCAAGCTCAACTTTTGGGAAAGAGTTTTAAATACAAAAAGATTAATATAAACTCTTATAACTTACCAAATGTTTTATAATGTTTCACTATGATATATTCAACTCCAATCAAAAACAAGTTTCAAGTTAGGATTCAAGGGAGAGTAGTGGGAAATGTTAATAAAATTCTGTGAACATTAAGGATTTAAAATCATTAAAGAACTTTACCAAATTATTTAATTTATAGATTTTTGTAATAGACAAAGAGAAAATATTTTAACAATTATTTGATACTTCTTCCCTTTTAAAAAAAGATATGATCTCTTTATAACCTAGGTATTATCTTACACTTAAGTGATTATGGCAATGACAATAATTTGATATTTCACTTCTAGGTTAATCCCAAATGTGGTTTCACTTTTTCATAAGCCACACAGCCGATGCCCACTGCAGGAAGCAGCTTTATGATGTTTGGGGTGATACCCCGGAAAAATCCCCTTTTTCCTTCTTTCTTATATATATCTTGAATGAGCTGAATCATAGGTGTTGTTTCTTTTTCCACCAGGGCTATAAATTGAAAAAAAAGAAATCAGTGTAATTCACTATTTAATCTTGATACATTAAGATAGTTCAATGATGAGAATTTACAGAGATTAAAATTATAAGGGGTCTTCAAAAAATTCATGGGAAATGCGTATTATGAAAAAACTATGAATAAATTGCAAAATATTTTTGCACCAAAATAAACTCATACTAACTTGTTACAACATGTCTAAACAGGATCTAGGTTGAGGCACTAAGAAGGATAAAACATCAGTTTAAAAAAGAGCCCCTATCATAATGACATAAATTATGTTAAAATTGAAACAAGGACAAACATCAAATTTATGAAGAAGCTTGAGTGGAAGAAAGGTGAAATCATCAATGCTTTATGAAAAGTTTACAAGGACAATGCCTCAAAGAAATCAGCTGTTTTATACCAATAAATAACTCATTTTAAGAAGGGACAAGACCATGTTGAAAATGAAGCCCACAGAAGCAGACCATCCACATCAATTTAAGGGGAAAAAATCAATCATATTTGTGCCTTAATGGAAGAGGACCTGCAATTAACAACAGAAACAATAGCCAACACCATAAACATCTCAACTGGTTTGGCTTACACAATTCTGACTGAAAATTAAAGCTGTGCTACTTTTCCACTCAATGGGTACCAAAACTGTTGCACACAGGTCAGCTACAGATGAGAGCAGAGCTTTCAGTGTAAAGTTTAAACAAGTGGAATCAAGATCCTGAAGCACTTCCTCCAAGAACTGGAATGGGAGATCACACATGGCTTTAGCAGTACAATCCTGAAGACAAAACACAATCAAAGCAATGTCTACCAAGAGGTGGAAGTGTTCCAGTCAAAGCCAAAGTGGATCAGTCAAGAGCAAAGGTAAGAGCAAAGGTCATAGCAACATTTTGGGGGGCATGTTCAAGGCATTTTGTTTATTGACTTCTGGAGGGCCAAAGAATGATAACATCTGCTTATTACAAGGGCTTTTTGAGAAAGCCAAAGCTTTAGCAGAAAAATGCCCAGGAAAGCTTCACCAGACAGTCTTTCTCCACCACAACAGTGCTCCTGCTCATTCTTCTCATCAAACAAGGGCAATTTTGTGAGAGTTTCAGTGGGAAATCATTAGGTATCCACCTCACAGTCCTGTCTGGCTCCTTCTCACTTCTTTTTGTTTCCTAATCTTAAAAAGTCTTTATAAGGTAACCATTTTTCCTCAGTTAATAATGTTAAAAATAAAAAGTTAATTAACATGATTAAAATCCCAGGATTCTCAGTTCTTTAGGGATGGACTAAATGGCTGGTTTCATCACTTACAAAAATGAATTTGATTGAGGTTATGTTGGGAAATAAAGTTGATATTTTTATCTTTATCTTTTAATTCCATTTTCCATGAACTGCTTGAAGTCCCCTCATACATCAGAGTATACCTCTCTCTCTACTGATAGAATAGTTCTGTGCTGTTCAATATGTAGCCACTACACACATGTGGCTATTTAAATTTAAATTATTTAAATTAAATAAAACTAAAAATTCCATTCCTCACTTGTAGAGCAACATTTCAAGTGCCCAATAGTCATATGTGACTACTGTACTGGACCACACAGATATAAAATATTTCCTTCACTGCAGAAAGTTCTATTGAACAATTCTCGAAAGTCTTTCATGAAGGACCTCAGTGGAGCATTTGGATTTGGATATGACAAGTTTGAGAGAGGGATGAATGAGTGATGGAATGGATAGAGATATTTTCCACCTGGATTGCAATATAAATTAAATCCAAAAATCTAACTGAAAAAGAGGGAGAAAGAGAATGTAAAAGAATATCACTTAGTACATGACCCCTTAAATAGTTTAGTCAATAAGTTAATAGGATTATGTGGAGGTTTTTTTTCTTCTTGAAAAGTGATAAAAATATTTTCTTAAAATCTAAATTCCTAACACTTCACTTTGAGAGGAACAAAGCAGATACCCTCCCTTCTTCTTAATATCTCCTTCCTACATAGATTGGAATACAAAATAATTGAGTTCACTTCCACAAATGTATTAAGTCCCTGATGCAGAATATAACAATGATAGTAGAACTAGGGGGAAAATTACATGTTCATATGGAGTAACTGTTGATTCAATCTGAAGAAAGCAAAATCTTTTCTACTGTTCTATATGGTACTTCCTAATTGTAAACTCCTTAAAGAGATTATCCATAATGGAAAGAAATGTGGAGTTCCAAAGAGATCTTTGAAAAACAAATAAAATCTGAAATTCACAAAAAGCACTAGTCAACAAAATAATAAACTCAAAATTCATGCCTTAAAAAAATCAGTTAGCTTTTGATTTATTTATTGATTCCACAGTTTTTTTGTTGTTGTTTTTTAAATCATTAATTTATACTCACTTAAAACATACTTTTAACTTAGTTATTATTACTTCATTAGAGGGGAGAAAAAAAAAAAACTCACCTTCAGCCTGCATCCGAGTTCTAATAAGGTTCAGAGGAAAGCTGGCTAACTGACCACAAGTGTGAGACAATGTACTACATCCCAGCAAAATCATTATCCCAGGATTTATGGAGTTTTCTGAATAATGATCTAGCCAATAATTCTTCAAAAGCTGGCAGAAAAGAGAGTAGTAAATGTCCTTTATCTACTACACAACTCTAAATTGAATAAAGCTTTAGTACAGAGCATCTATCCCTGCTGTCATATCAGAACAGGGGGCACAGATGTTTTCAAATAAACTATTCATGCAGCCTCAGTTTGAGTTCTCCTTTGTTTGTGTCTCTGTGTATGTTTGCTTTATTTTTTTTGTTTATTTTATTTTGATTTGCTTGTTTTATTTTGTTTTGTTTATAATAATATTCAAAGACCAGAAGAAAATTCTGGAGATTCTCACAGATATTGCAGAGAGGAAGACTGCACAATCTACTCTAGGTTTGTTCTCAACTTTTAAGAAAGACTGATCTTCTCAGATTTACTTTTCCTCGAATATAAGTGGCTGGAAGAATAAACTTAGAAACAGTGGGTTTAAAACATCACTAAGTGCTTTCAGAATTGTTCATTTATTAAAGAATAGCAACTTTGACATTACATACTGGGACAATTACTACAAAATATATCATTTGATGCTTTTGAAAAAATAGATTTTTAAAATATCTCTTCTGTGCACATACAACAGTCATGTAACCATAAAGAGAGAAATGTGTAATGGCACTCTGGTATGAAAGCAAAAAATATTGAACTGTAGAAATAAAAGAATGGAGAAAGCCCTACACAAATAGCAGCAATGGATTTATTCTAATAAGACCATAGAAGCCCAAATACAAAAAGGAAAAGAAATACATGCTATAATATTCAATACTTTAAACATCTACAAAAAATCTAACATATAATATCATATTATGAGAATAAACTCACCTCATAAACAGCAAGATCTAAGCCTGCATAAGGTATAATACCTAGCAAGTTAGGAATATAACCTTTGAAAAAGGATCTGACACCCTCCTGTTTCAGAAGCTTCTTGCCACAATCAATAATCCCTGAATACTCTCCAGTGTTAGCTACAGCCAGTCTGGTCTTTACTACCTAAATGTGAAAGAATATAATAAGGATATATTGATCAGATTCACTCTACTCATGTGGCAATCCAGTGAGATGCTTATAAATCGCAAGGCTTATAAATTTTCATAGAAATAAAAGAGAATGCAATCATAAACATAATTCCAACTTCTCAGTGACTGGCTTTTAATTATGGACAATTAATATAGTACAGAGGTTTTTCTTAATTATTCAGACAGGAAAATAAAATTAATCACTGTGCCTATGATTGATACACCCACTCAAACACCTTTAATATGCTGTAAGGCAACATGTTTTTAAACAAATTCATTTAAGATAACATTATTACCAAAAAATAAAGCAAACATAGCCAAAATTCAAATTTTAAAAAAAGTATATGGCCATGTTAAAGTGAAGAACCAATAGGAAAAAAATTTCTATATATGCTTAAAATGTGTAGTCCAGGAACTATCGTAGCAGTGAGGCGTACACACTGTAACTTAACGACGTGGGCTCATTTTGCCCTCATAAAGTAGTGATATCTTGGAAGCTATGAGGACAATAGTAGGCTCCAGTGGGCTGTAAATGATCAATATTCTTATGCACAGTGTAATTCTCCTGATAGAGTCTCACTCCTTGTCATCTTAACTTCCACTAATTTAATTTAAGAGTGCTCTATACATGCTTGAAGAAATGGCTCTCCAAAACGGTTAAGACAAAAAAAGAATAAATTCTGTCTTGATTGGGCAAACCATGTATCTTTGTGTGTGTGTGTGTGTGTGTGTGTGTATTTTATTTTATTTTTTTATTTTTTTTTCCTTTAAATTTTTATTTTGTCGATATACAATGTGGTTGATCATTATGGCCCATCACCGAAACCTCCCTCCCTCCTCCCTCACCCCCCTCCCACCCAACAATGTCCAAACCATGTATCTTAATAGGGCTGCCTCCAAGTAGTCAGTAAGAAGCCTTCTGTTTTATGGACTTCTCTGCAGGACCAGTCACTTTGGATAATCCCATTCTTAAAACTCTCTGCCTTCTCGAAGGCAGTGTACTCTCCTCTTATCCAAGTAAATCTTTTCTATCTGCTTCACTGGCATATTTTTCTCCTCTTACTCCCTAAATTAAGGACTTCTTAAAAGTTTTCTTCTCAGCACTTTTTAAAAAGAATACTAGTTTTTTCTTAGGCAATCTCAAAATCTCCAATAACACCTCTCTGCAGATAACACACCAAGACTTGAAATCTCAAGTTTTTGTATCACATTTGCAACTGCTTTCTGAAAATCATAATTCGGTTGGCCCACCAACAGCTCAAATTAAATATATGCAAATCTGAACCCATCATCTCTCAGTCTGGCTCACTTAGAGATGTAACTCAGATGCAACTCTCCTGAACACTCAGGCACAGAACCCAGATAGAGCTTTGCTTTCTTCCTCAACTTAGTTCTTAAGATGCTCTAACATAAGTCAATTTCCCCTGGTCAGTATCACACTTCAGGCTCTTACTGCCATTTCCCTGAACCATGACAATACCTTGTATCTAGTCGTCCCATCTCTTTAGTCTCTCCCGCTATAAAATACATTACCAGGATCATATTTCACTCTCCAAAGTCTTTAATGGCATCCTGCTTTTTAGAGAATTAAATCCCTCAAGCTGCATTCAAGAGCCTTTCTGAACTGGCCTTAACCCTTCACCTATGCTATTGTCTAGTCCAAACCAAAATACCTACTTTTATACCACCATTCCTTTGCTCAAGCTATTTTTTCCACCAAAAATGCCCTTCCTCCTAATTCCTGCATGCCCAAATTCTAAGCCAAGCTCACACATTCTATTCATGTGTTTCATGAAATCCCTAGCTAGAAATAATTTCTCCTGTCTGAATTTCTACAGCCCTTTATATTGATCTCTTTTCTATAATTTTTTTCTTTTTTTTTTTTCCTTTTTGTCTTTTTTCGTGACCGGCAACAGATCACAACCCTCAGTGTCGCGCCCGTACCGGACCGGGACCAGCAACGGAATCGCAACCCTTGGTGTTGCGCCCGCACCTCACTCAGCCAGTGAGCGGCTGGTCTGTATGTGGGATCCAAACCCTCGGCGGGAGCGCCGCCACGCTCCCAAGCGGCGCACTATAGCAGTGCACCACCGGGCCGGCCCCCTAGAATTTATTTTCAATTTTAGATCATTACTGATGTGCATGTTTTATTTCCCCTTCTAGACTATAAGTGCTACATGACCAAAGTCCTTGTCTGACTCTTCTCTGGATCAGCACCTAGCAAAATTTCTTAAACTTAATGGGTATACAATATGAACTTGCCTGATTAATGAATTAGTGATTCTATCAATCAATCAACAAAATTGTTCATCTTCTTGGTCCATCTACAATACTACCTTTGTCTTAAACAACAAAAAAAACTCTTTTGAGGTTAACTGAAACTTGATACAAAACTTAGGCACTGTTAGCTATAAAGCTGTTTATTGTACAAAATATTGATCTGGGATTTATTTATAAAAAGTTATAATTTGCATTAAAAGCACGACTTTAGTTAAAATTTTACAATAATACATACCTCCATGGGGTAAATACAGGTCTGGGCAGTTGCACCAGCCAATGAACCAGATATAAATCTTTCAAGAATTCCTAATTGAGCACCACCAAAACTAAGCCACTTCTTATACTGTATAAATAAAAGTATTAAAATGCATACTATTACTGAAATGAAATATATGTTATTTCTAAGTTTATAACATTAATTATTTGCATAAAATTATATTTTAAAAGTATACCAGGTACAACCAAGTAAAATACCTGATTTTGATTTTTATGCAATTAATTGTCTAAGATAATAAGTCTCTCTATTCAGTCTCCTTTCTCCTTTTTTTCTCTTCAAAATAAGTTAGCAACATCAAATCACTTAAGTATATTCACGAGCATTTCATTTCATAACATCAATGAACCCTAGAATAAACCCTAACAAGTACAGAAATTGGTAACTGGATGTAGGGTGCCATAATAACTAAAACCTAAAATACATGGCAACAGCTTTATTGTTAGGACACAGATATTACATACTGAGAAGGTGATGGACTTTTTGACATTTTGTGGAAATAATTGACAGCACTGCTTCCTGTGATATAATGTAAATGGAAGGTAAACCATTTTCTTTTTGAGCATGAAGTTCTAGGAAAACTGGATGGAAAAATCTCAGAATGTTGGTTAATGTTGCTTGCTCCTTGCTGCTTTTAGCAAGATCTATGAGACATGAGCTAAAGCATCTCTCTACTTTCCTGCTCAGGGCTTTCACCAAAGTCAGTTTGCAAGCAGAAATGGAAGGAAATAGAGCTTTGCTAAGGAAGTTTTCTTTGCCTGGCTTGAGAGTCAAGAAATGTGGGGTTTCAGATTTAGAAGAGTGCGGTGGAATGAACCCCCCCCCCCCCCAAAGTCATTAAAGCTTAATCCCCACTGTTACTGTTGAGGGTGAGAAGTCTATTATAGTAATTGAAAGGTGGGGCCTTGAAGAGGTGATTAGATTCTGATGACCACGCCCTAATGAATGGATTGATAATGGTGGTCATGCGCATGTTTCTGACGGCCTTTAAAAGAGAGCACATGAGAGTCTCTCTCTCTCTCTCTCTCTCTCTCTCTGCTCCATCATTTCTGCCATGTGATACTCCTGTGTTGCCGTAAAGCCACCACCAAAAAGACCCTCACCAGATGTGTTTCCTGGACTTTGGATTTCCTAGCCTTTGAAACTGTAAGCAATAAATTTTGTTTTCTTATATATTACCCAGTTCCAGGTATTTTGTTATAAGCAACAGAAACAGACTAATACAAAGAACTACCTACTTCTGTTCCCCAATAGAAGAAAATGATAGTCCTAAAGAGCTTGCCTATCTGCAAAAATCAAATTAAGAGTGTTGTCATCTGATTTAAGCCTATTGTTTCAGTTGACATCAAGGTAGCCTGCTATAAAAATAAGAGAGAGAGAGAGAGAATGACTAAACACAAGGTGGAAAATAAAATGTTGGAAGAGATCTTTTGGTGTGGATACTTTCATGTTATGTTGACAGGAAGTAAACAAGAAGAGTTAGTCATTTTTAGAAGAATTGTGTTCCTAGAAAAACCATAAGCCTAGCATACAAAATCTGCATATTTCAGTGATCTCTAAAACAACTCTCAGGCCCCCACACTTAAGTGGACAGACAGTTGACCATGACAGACATTTCTGGAGCCTTGCATCACATCTGGACAGTTCTGTGCACTCAACTGACAGAGCCTCATCTAAAGCACAACCCTATTATGCCTCTGCTTTTTTGCAGCAGGGTCTTCTCCAAAACTGTGGGAGCCTGTCCAACCCAGAAGTCTAGGGAAGTTAAAGTTTCAGGAGCAATCCTTTTATAATGTGTGATAGGAGACAGATAAATGCTTCCACTTCCTTTCTTAAAACAGACAACTCTGGGAGGTATTCTGTACACTTCTTTGAAGTTCCAGTGGAATCAAGCCCCTACTGCCTACAGTAGAAACCTCATTTGTATACCCTAATATTGGCCTTTTTCCTCCCTTGTCTCATTGGATCCAGCTTCCTCACTCCTCCTTCTTTGCAAAAAACTATCTGCACCCAGACTTTACTTTGGGTGGAATCCAAACTAAGATAATTGATACCACTTCAAAAGTGGTCCTAGAAAGCACCCTATAGGTATTATTGGAACTAAATCAGTCATCAGTCACTTGGCAACAAAGACCCCATTGCTAGTGGTAAATGGGATGATAATAACGTGCAGTATTGCTACGGTTTGAGTGTCCCCACCAAAACTCATTTTGGAACTTTAATTCCTAGTGTGGCAATGTTGTGAAGTGGAACCTTTAAGAGGTGGGGCTTAATGGGAGGTGTTTGGGTCGTGGGGATTTTGCCCTTGTGAGTGGCTTGGTGCCAGTTCTCATGGTAGGTAATAAGTGAGTTCTCACTCTCACAAGATTGTATTAGTCCTTGTGGGAATGGATTAATTTCCTCGAGAGTGAGTTGTTATAAAGTGAGGATGCCCCTCATGTTTTGCCTCCTTCACATGTCTGCTTCTCCTTTGACCTTCTGCCATGTTACAATGCAGCACAAGACCCTCACCAGAAGCCAGTGCCTTACCCTTCTTGAACTTCCTAGCCTACAGAACTATAAGCTAAATAAACCTCTTTTCTTTATAAATTACTCAGTCTTATAGAAACTCAAAATGGACTGACAGGTATACATACTGTGGCATTACAGTTACTAAGATTTTTAGTCCTGGTGGCTTGAAATAAGATATTAGTAGAATGGAAAGCATTACATTGTGCAGTTGCTCTAATAAGTGAGCAGTATGGGGACAATCATAAGGATTGTAGAGTTACTGGCTTTTGTTAACTGCCTTAGAAAGTTTGAAGAAAGAGAACATCAAGTTTAGGCTAACCAACTATCACCTTAAAGCATGTTATGAACACTATAAGGCCTTCACAGCAACATTTAAAGAGACCTTCATCTCCTGCAGCTGGAGAATAGATGGTGCTGAAAATCAGGCCCTGGATATAAATGTATAGGTAGCAGAGTTGCAAAGGAAACCAAATGAATAGCTTCCACAAGTCTCCTATGCTGAAGTCAGGACCCTAATTGGGAATGAGTGGGACCCTGAGACATGGGATGGGGGCATTTGGGTGTATGTGCCTGAAAAACATAAATTCCCAAATTCTCCACCACCCTCCAATTTGGCAGAAAGTTGCCCCCTCCCCACTGCTAAAGCAGACCAGCCTCTTCTTGTCCACAGACCACGTGCAGGCCTCAAAGAGGCGGATGCCTAACACAATGATGTTTGTCTTACTCACAATCTGCCCCACTTCCCCTTATTGCCTGTTAGCCAATAATTTTTATAGGATCAGGCCTCAAATAGCCCAAAGGAGAAATATAGTCCATGTTCTATAAGAAAATAGTATTCTCACCAAAGAGTTGCAGGACCTGGCCAATATGGACTGGTAGGAACAGTGGAACATGCGTGGGAGTCAATCATAAGAGTGTTAGGCAGTGGGGGTGCGGAGGTTAGAATATAATGCTGGATAGGGAGACTTTATTGATATGGAGCATTCTCCCTTGAAGGACTTGGTACCAGTCCTAATATGCTGTTTAGATGGCTCTTTAAAGCTTGGAAACAATCATGGCCAATAGTAAACGAGGTGGTGATGCCAAAGTCTTAATACAGTGTTTAGGAAGGGATCAGTACACTCAGGAAGTGTGGAAATGTTAAAATGCACTTTATCATGAGACTGGAGTAACTACCACCTGACTATGTTTCTAGGATGAAAGGGGAGTCCTTGTTAAGAGACCCAGTGATGGCTGTTTTCAGACAGAACTAGTACATAACATAGACCTCAGAGTTATCCTACACAAGTAGGCAAAGGCATTGTGGTACTGCTATGATTTGAGTGTTTGTCCCCTCCAAAATTCATACTGAAATTTAATTGCCAATGTGATGGTATTAGGAGGTGGAGGCTTTAAGAGGTGATTAGGACATGAGGGCTATGCCCTCATGAGTGGGATTAATACCTTTTTAAAAGAGCTTTTGAGAGCAGGTTCTCTCTCTTGCCCTCTGGCCTTCTGCCACATAATGATGCAGCAAGAAGGCAAGAAGGCCCTCGCCATCGCTTCTCGGCCTTTTGGCTAAGATCAAGAAGGCCCTCGCCAGATGCCAGTGTCAATTTTGAACTTCCCAGCCTCCAGAAGTGTGAGCCAATAAATTTCTGTTCATACCCTCTCAGGTTTTCTGTTACAGCAGCACAAAACAGACTAAGACAGGTATTTATCAACCAATGCCCATTAGTCATTAATGAAGGCTGCTCCCAAGAGCCTTAATTCCTTATTGTTTCCAGCCTGCCCTTTTTAGGAACAGAGCAAGCTCCAGAAGCCAGAGAAAGCCTTAGGAAAATAGATTTTAGATGTTGTCAGGGGCACTTCAAAAAGTTCATGGAAAAACAGAATTTAAAAATAATATGGGGCCGAGCCCGTGGCACACTCGGGAGAGTGTGGCGCTGGGAGCATAGCGACGCTCCCACCATGGGTTCGGATCCTATATAGGACTGGCTGGTGCGTGCACTCGCTGGTTGAGCGCAGTGTGGGCGACACCACGCCAAGGGGTTGTGTTCCTCTTACCGGTCATGAAAAAGACAAATAATAATAATAATAATAATAATATGAATCTTTCCATGAATTTTTTAAAAACCCCTTGAAAAGTTGGGTACTTATACATACAGTTTTTCTGCCTGGTTGTAACAATGAATAGGGTAATGGTAGCAAACAAAGACAAGAAAAAAACAAAGCAAAAATCCAGATTCCTCAGAGATAAAAGTCTTTGTTATTCCACCAAAGAAACAACTTAGACTAGCCAAAGTACTGGTCAAGGGTGAAGTAAATCTAGAATGACTGGCAGAGAGATGACAATCACTTATAGCCTTGGGAACAGTTACAACAGTATGGACTGTAACTCCCTCCTACTGGGCAAAAGTAATAGTATGTAAGAAGGACCTGAAGCAGGAAGGAGCATGGTGCACTGGAACAAGTGAAAGAGGGCCAGCCTTGAGAGCAAAGAAGAATGAGAAAAGGGCAGGAGCCAGATTATTTTGCACCTTGTTAGTTAGGAGAAGGATTCTGTACTTAAGATAAAACATCCACTGGAGGGTTTTAAGGAAAAGAAATTACATAACCAGACTTATATTATTAACAGACTATTTTGGTGGCAGTGTAAATAGTGGATAGGCGATATAGAGACTAGGTGGGAATCTATTCAGTAGTCCAGGTAAAAAATGACAGTAGCCAGCAACACTAATAAAGACAGAAGAAATAACAGATTTCTGGATGTTAGCAAGATAGTGCACTAGGAGATGTTCATGTCCACTCTCCCACAAAAACAATGACTACACAATGAATTACTGATGAAAATAGCTTTGGGAGAGCTCCAGAGGACAATGAAGGAGCTGCAGCAACCCAGCGGAGCACAAAAGCCAAGTTAAAGTGCATTATAGGAATAATTTAAAGTCAGATCTATTTTTAAAACTGAAAATTCTCATAAATACTTGTGTCAGATATTGTTCTAAGTACTACATATATATGGGTGTGTGTGTGTGTGTGTGTGTGTGTGTGTATAAATTCATTTAATTGCCTCAACTCTAATCATTATTTTCTCCATTTTAAGTTAAGGAACATTTTTAAAAATGAAGCACAGAGAGGTTAAGCAGTTTGTCCCATTTTACATAGCTAGCAAGTGGCAGAACTAGGATTTGAACCTAGAGAGTCTGGCTCCAGAGTACATAACCTTAACTACCTCCCTAAACTTTGGTATTTAACTACTATTAATAATAATTTACAATGAATCTCAGTTAATCTCTTTAAGCCATACTAATAGGTCATAATACGTTGACTAAGAACCTCTACTCTAATATAGCATTAGAAGTATTGTCTCAGTGGGCTGGCCGTTAGCTCAGTTGGTTAGAGCATGGTGTTTACAACACAAAGGTAAAGAGTTCAGATCCCCTTAATAGCCAGCTGCCAAAAAAAAAAAAGTATTGTTTCCAGATAGGAGAACTGGAACCAATAAACCTGGATTCTAACTGATTCTATCACCAACTAAATGTGTCACATCAAGTAATTTATCATCTCTTGACTCAGTTTTCACATCTATAAAATGATGACTTCAGGCTATTTACTCAATAACATTCAATAATGTGGTGGCACTATTCTGGAAATAATGCTAAGGTCCCTATCCTAAAGCAGTATACTATTTTTCTAAAAGACATAGTTTAAACAGATTTAAAAAGAAAAGACAGGGCCGGCCCAGTGGCGCACTGGATAGTGCGCCGCTTAGGAGGCGCGGCAGCGCTGCCGCCCGAGGGTTCGGATCC